GCGTCTGTCCCCCCGCGAGTGGAGAGGGGGACTCGCGCTAGCACGGACCCGTCCTTGAAACGGCCGAGGAAGACAACGCTATATTGACCTCAAAAGAGGCTAGTGGGACAAAAGACAGGAAAGAGAACCCCACTACCCGGGAGGCCACCACTGGGGCGCACCTGTGGTTTTCTGCCACAGGGACTGGAGGACAAACCTCCAGTGGGGGCGGGGGCGGGGGGTGGATGAGGCACCAGGACGGGGCCGGGGAAGCCACCTCGAGTTGTGTCACAACTTTGGGGCTGGTCGGCCTGGGAGGCCCTTTGACAGCCCCTAGCTGCTCCTTTTGTGTTGACAGAGGCCCCTGTGAGCTCTTTTCCCCACGGGGCGTCCTGGGAGAAATCTTTTACTCAAGGGTGGAGGGCAGAGGGTGGAGGGCAGGGTCTGATATCTCAAGAAGCAGCCAGGCAAGGAGCAAAATGGCCTCTGCATGTGTGTGCACGTGTGCACATGCATGTGTGTGCGCGCACGGGGGCCCCAAAGGAACCTGCAGTGTGTGTGGGGGAGGGACTCCAAGAATGCCGCAAGCCTAGCCCAGCCTGGTCTCCCCAAGTGGCTGTGCCTGAGCTGCGGGATTTGCTCTTACATCGTTTCTTCTCTTCCCGCCTCTGTGGGCTCACCTGCTCCTGGATGCCTGGACCGCGCTCCGGTAGGTTTGCCCTCGGTGGGCGGGGCCTGAGCTGGGGGCGGTCTTAAGGCGGGGCCAACAAGGGCGACACCCCCACCCCAAGAAGCCCTGGGGCACCTGGCACAACGCAAAGCTGGGCCTGGCAGGGAGAGGCAACCCAGACCAGAGCCTCGTGCAGACTCAGGGCAGCGTCTCTGAGGCCCGAGCCACCCCCACAGGCCCCTTGCCACCCCCAGCTCTGCGCCAGGGTCTGCACAGGGGCCGGCTTCACCCCACTGCCCCTGGGCCAGGCCAGGCCGCCCTGTTCTCTCCTTTCAACTTGTCCCTCCTCTCCCTGCAGCCCCCACAGGATGACGACGATGCAGAAACGGGCTTGACGGAGGGAGAAGGGGAGGGCGAGGAGGAGAAGGAGCCGGAAAACCTGGGCAAACTGCAGTTTTCCCTGGACTATGACTTTCAGGCCAACCAGGTGTGTGGGGCTGGGCCGGACGCCGAGCGGTGGGAGGGGCGGGCTGCCACCCCGCTCGGGCTGCCCCTGGTCCAGGCGGGCTCTGCTGCCCACCTGCCCGCCCACCTTGGGCAAGTCCGTGGCCCTTTCAATTTCAGTGACCCCTGTGTTAGTCCAAATTCTTGGAGATGGACATGGGGACCAATCTCGGTCTCCAGCTCCAGCCTGCGCCCACGTCCCAGCTGCCCGCCTCTGGGGAGGCGTTGCCGGAGCACCCCAAGACTCAGGCCCTGCCTCGCTCTCTCCACAGCTGACCGTCGGCGTTCTGCAGGCAGCGGAACTGCCTGCCCTGGACATGGGAGGCACCTCGGACCCGTACGTCAAAGTCTTCCTCCTTCCAGACAAGAAGAAGAAATATGAGACCAAAGTCCATCGGAAGACGCTGAACCCTGCCTTCAACGAAACCTTCACCTTCAAGGTGATGAGGGCCGGAGGACAAGACCGGCTCCCTCTGGTCCCAGTCCCACCGCCGTCCTGCAGACCTTTCCTGGGTCCTTAGCTGGGGCGAAGGCCGGGAACCAGCTCCTTCTGGAGCAGTGGCGGGCTGGACTGTGACCTGCTCGTGAGGTCACTGCTCAGCCTCTTGGAGGAGCAGGCCAGCCCCCCGCTGCTATCCCCCCCCCCCAGGAACCCAGGCTCATCTGTGTTTGCAGACTCGCCAGGAGTCCTGTGAGCAGCGGGACAAGAGCCGGGTCCAGGGACCCGCCCATGGCAGCCTTGGGGGCATGCGAGCCGCCCTGCGCTCCCTGACCTCGCTGTGCCTACAGGTGCCGTACCAGGAGCTGGGGGGCAAGACCCTGGTGATGGCCATCTATGACTTCGACCGCTTCTCCAAACACGACATCATCGGAGAAGTGAAGGTGCCCATGAACACCGTGGACCTGGGCCAGCCCATCGAGGAGTGGCGAGACCTGCAGGGCGGGGAGAAGGAGGAGGTGAGAGCCGAGGCAGCGTGACGGGCGGGCGGGCGGGGGCCGCCGAGGCGGGCGACTGTGCTAGGCCCAGCTGGGTGACCCCGGGCTCCTCGGAACGGGTTCTGTTTTGGTCTCTGCGGGTGAGGACGGACCATCTGCGTAGAGCGTGTAGCGTCCAGTAGGTGTCGGTACCGGGCAGGGGCCCTCATTACTCCTAAGCCTATCACTTAAGGCCAGTGATGCTGGACCCTACCTCAGTTTACCCACAAGGAAAGCCCACGTTTACATTTGTCCTAAAGGACTCCCAGCATGGGGGCTTGTGCTCTCAGCAACTGCTACAGCATTCATGCACTTGTCAGATGCTTACTGAGCACCTACTGGGTGCCCAGGCGTGCGGTTAGTCTCGGCCAAGCCCCGGTAGTGTGCCGGGCAGTCCCTGGCGGTGATGGAGGGGTGGGAAGAGACACGCAGACATCCTTCCTTAGCTGGGGTCACACTGTCTGAGGAAGGGCCTGCACCCTGAGCCGGAGGGGGTGAGGCGGCCCGTAGCTGAGAAGCAGGGACTCTGCGGGGGTGTCTAGGCGCAGAGATATTAGGAGCGGGGAGCCCGCACTCCTGCCTGCCCCCCACACTCGCCCCTCTCTGGACCTCCATCGCTCGCTGGTCACGAGGAACCCTTGCCCTGTCTACGCGAAAGAGGTGCAAGGACAAAAACATCAGAAAAGGGATGTGACGTGCTCTGCATGGAGTGGCCGACGGGGCGACGTCCGTGGGTGGCGGGTGGGAGGGAGGCTTCCGAGGCGCTGTCTCCCGGGCCCTGCACGCAGCCCTGGCTGGGTTCCACGCCTGTTCCTGCCGCCAGCACCTCGCCGAGGCCGGGGTTGGAGCAGGGACGCGCCCGCCTCGTGCAGACCCACCCAGGCACCGCTCGCCCGCCCTGCCCGCAGCCTGTCACTCTCAGGGGCTGTGCTGAGCGGCAGCGGGGGGGCTGCAGGGTGTGGGGGGTCGGTCAGAAGCTGAGAGACCTGCTCGCCATCGCGGACCAGGCCTGGGGGCCGAGGGAGCCGGGCGCGGGGAGCCGGGCTCAGGGAGCCGGGGTTGGCCATGCTCAAGGCCGTGGGGCGGCGGGGGTGACCCCGCTTCCTGCTTCCCTGCCGAACAGCCGGAGAAGCTGGGCGACATCTGCATCTCCCTGCGCTACGTGCCCACGGCCGGGAAGCTCACCGTCTGCATCCTGGAGGCCAAGAACCTGAAGAAGATGGACGTGGGCGGCCTTTCAGGTACGCGCAGAGCTTCTGGCCGCCACTGGGTGGCACCGGCGAGCCAGTCCCCGCCGGAGCCCCAGCCGGTGAAGCCTCACAAGCTTTCCGCCCTGGGAGACAAGTGTCCCCGAGCACCTGTGGGTCCTGAGGGCAGCACCGGGCAGCAGGGGCTTGGCCCCCAGCCCCTCCCTTTCCCTGAAGGCCCCCTGCCTCCTCTGAGTCGCCATTCTGTGCCCCTCTGCATACCCTGGGGCCACGGGAGACAGGCTCCCCCAGTGACTTAGCGGCTAAGGGGTCTGTCTCTTCTCGGGGAGCGGAGGACGTGGACAGGGCTCTCCCTCTGTGACGCCACCACAGTCTGGGACACTTCTCCAGGACAGGCTCTGTAGCTCGACCCGGGAGGGGGCTTGGGGAGGGGAATGCTCTGGGCGGGGCTGCCCCCCACAGGTGGGAGTTCTGGGGGCCCGGTGGCGGTGGTGTGCCTGCTGCCTCCGCCCTACCTCCCTGAGAAGTAGCTGGCGTTTGGGCTCCAACGAGCAGGGTTGGCTGCCAGCCCAGCCCTGTCACTGACCACTGGTGTGACCTTGGGCAGATGGCATCCTTTCTGTGGGCCTCGGTTCCTCATCTGTAAGGTCTGGGTTGGTTGGGTGGGGGGTGGCAGGTGTGTGCTGTCCCTTCGCAGCCTCCCCTGCCCTGCCTGGGACAAACATCACCAAGCCACCCTCACACTTTCTGGCCAAGACCCGACTTAGGTTCAGGGACGGCCCTGACGCCGTGCTCTGGCCGCCAATCCAGTGGGGACCGTCCTGCCACCCTGAACTGGACACCTATTCCGTGTTCTTTGGACTCGGAGGCCGCGGGCAGCCTGGGCTGACGGGACTTCTGGGCTGGGGTTCCCCCGTACAGACCCCTACGTGAAGATCCACCTGATGCAGAACGGCAAGCGGCTCAAGAAGAAGAAGACGACGGTGAAGAAGAAGACACTGAACCCGTACTTCAACGAGTCTTTCAGCTTTGAGATCCCTTTCGAGCAGATACAGGTGCTCGGCGGCGGCGGGACTGGGTGGGCAGAGGGGGTTCCGGCGGGCGGCGGGGCAGGTGGCCAACACGCTGGGGGACAGAACCACACTGGTGGATATGAAGACGGAGCAGTTCAGGTGGGGCTCCGGATCTTCGTCCTCAAGGATGAGCCCGAGCTGGAGGGCGGCAGGAGAGAGGGACCGAGGGTGCCGGCCGGCCCAGCTGCTCACCAAGAGCCCCTGATCTCCGCCGCACACCTCTTCCTTCCAGCACCCCTGCCTTGGTCTGGGCCCCCGTTATCCACTCCCCAGACCCCTGTGGCATCCAGCTGGTCTCCCTGCCACCAGTCCCACCCTCCTCCACCCCCATGCCAGGGTTCTCTGCTACAATACCCAGGCTGTGCCTCGTGGCCCACAGCTGCAGGAGGTCCCGCTGGCAGCCTAAAGGATCAAACGCACACTGTACAGCCGACCCCACCCACCTACCAGCCTCATCCCTTCCTCGTCGCCTCACGCTGCACTTCATAACACCAAACGCACTCGTGTCTCTGTGCCTGTACCCAGGTGCCCTCACCTCCCAGTTCATAGGTCACCTCCTCTGAGTTCCCGTAGTATCTTGTGTTTCCCTCCCTATGTAACCTTCATCGCTTTCTTTGTCTTGTAAGTTTCGAGCATGTGTCTGCTTTCATTAGAGGCGAAATTCATCCGCTCACTTTTCTTCACAGCCCTCTACTCCCAAGCGGCCGAACGGGGCCCAGAACACAGTACGCGCTTAGTAAATGCCTCGGGTCATTTCCAATAGGCACGGCCTCTGCCTCCAGTAGGTTTTGTCTTAGTAGGGGCCTGATGGGCCTTGCCTTCCACTCCTTTGGAGGAGAGGTTGATGGAGGGGAGAAGTCAGTCATGGGAGGCCCAGCCTTCACCTGCCAAACGCCCCCTCCTGTGTTCCTTGCAGAAAGTCCAGGTGGTGGTCACCGTGCTGGACTACGACAAGCTGGGCAAGAACGAGGCCATTGGCAAGATCTTCACGGGCCTGAACTCCACGGGCACGGAGCTGCGGCATTGGTCCGACATGCTGGCCAACCCCCGGAGGCCCATCGCCCAGTGGCACTCGCTCAAGCCCGAGGAGGAGGTGGACGCACTTCTGGGCAAAAACAAGTAGGCGGCGCGCCGCGCCCGCGCGCCAGGACAGACACGGACGCGACCCAGAGCTATCAATACCTCAGTTACGCACCCTTAGAGGTTCCCCTGTTCATTTGTCTGTGGTCGTGTCCTCGTTTTTCCTTCCTTTTTGTCTTTTTAAAGACCGACTTCCCTCCGAAGGCTGTGAAGAGAGTCCCCTACGTGGTGACAGAGAAGCCTGGCTCTTGTCGTCATCCCAGGAGCTGCCCGGCTGCATGCCTCGTCACGGTCCCCACTCCATCACAGCTTCACTTAAGCACCACCCGAGTGAGGCCCTCTTTTGGTAGAAAGTTGCAGCACTTCCTGTTTTTTGAGCGTTCTGGACCAACAGAATGGCAGCATTTCCTGTTTCCTGACAAAGAAGGCAACACAGTGGCCAAAAATCCATGTGTGCACGTGTGCGCGCGTGTGTGTGCGCGTGTGTGTGCATGTGTGCGCGTGTGTGAGCATCTCTCCGCGTTCCCGGAATGAGCCATGGACGGTGAAGCTGTGAGCGAAGAGAAGGTTCTTTGGGGACCCGCAGGTCTGAGTGGAAGGGGAGGTCAGCGTGTGGAGAGGGCTCAGGACCCTCAGGTCAGGTGGCGGAAGCTCCCTTCTTCCTTGTGGGTGGCTATTTGGGAGGCAAGGTGCAGAGACGAGATTTGTGCAGAGCAAGGACCGAGGCCCTGAGGCCGTCATAGACTTCCTGCTGGCGGCTGTGGCTGCCCCGCGGGGGCTGTTCCGGGCACATTCGTGGACGTGAACTCTTCGCTAGATTGGTCGGACGCTAACAGGGACGCCAGTCCCGGGTCCTCACTCTTGTTGACAGTTAATATCTAACTATGAAGAAACAGAAGACCTGTTACCCAGACAGACCAAAACGAAGCTTCTGGCTCTCCGACCCCTCCAGGGGGAAAGAGACGCTTTCTCCCTTGGCAGAACATAAGCCTGCAGGCCATTCGCTCGCTCCGCATCCTGCTTTTGCTTGTGTTTTCTCTTTTAATCTAAGTGGAGCAATGCTGTCGGAAGACACGTCATCTGTTCAGAGCCAGAGAGCTGTAAGGAAGGTTTAACTGTTCTTAGTTCCCCCCGAGGCCCAGGTAAGAAGGGGGAGGACGGTGGACGGATGGCGGAGATTTCCTGGGTAACGTAGACAGCAGCACCGAGAGCGCCCTTAGTCCCACCTCTCCGCCCTCCCTGCCAGGGGCTTACGGGCAGCTGGCATGGCCCCGCGCAGCCCGCGCGGAGGGCTCACCCCGCTGTTCCTCAGGGAGGCTTCTCTCTGGGTGCCATGAGTCAGGGGGCCTCTTTCCAAACGGGCGGTGGGGACCCCTGCTAGGGTTTCTACCCCACGCTCAGGTGTGTCCCGTTCCCTGTTCACCTTCTGTCCCCAGCACTGATAAAAAGCCATATATATGTTAGTCAAGTTTGCACTGAGTCCCCTTCCAAACCTTCATCCAGGCAAGACGTCGGCCCCACACGGCCTCAGGCCGGCACCGCTCTGCCGGGCCGTCTCCCGGCCTGGCCTCCCTCCCTGCGGCCTCTCCCTTCCGCCCATGAAGCCCCCCGGCCCTGGCACTGCGTTCACGCACAGCGTCCCCAGGAGCCTGGGGACGGGTCTCTTCTTCCCAGCAAAAGTGGCGGCACGTCCTGTCCTGCCCCATCTGGGCCACCTCAGCTTCCTGTAGGCGCCTGAGACAGATGGACACTGTTGGTGAGAATCAGGCTTTGAGGACCCAGCACGAACAAGGTGCAGAGTGTCTTTTGATTTTACTGAACGAAAGGAGAAGGGTGTTTGGTCTTTGCTTTGCTACCTTGTCCGGTTGGAGTAGGGGTGAGGAAACAGAGCGGGAAGCCGGGCTCAGCCTCGCCCGCCTCACAGGGACCCGTCTCTTTCTTACCAGTGGCCTGGGAAGTCGTTACTGGACCCTGTGTGCACCTGTGTGTGCACCTGTGCACGCACGTGTTGTGTACACGTGTGTGCTGGCAGAGGTTGTAGGGCAGTAGGGCTCCTGCAGAGGTGGGCATCAGAAGTCGCTGGTCTCTTCTCCCCTCCCCAGAGCTGTGGGACCTTGGTGCTTTCTCAGGGTCTCCCTCGCTCAGCCCCTCCCCTGCACCCCACACACCGTACCATAGACCCTCTGCCATCACTCTCACCCCGTCCCGTCAGCCTTCCTCCCTTTCCCGGGCCACCTTCTCCTGCCTGGAGGCCTCTCCCATGAGCCACGTCCAGCCATTCCAGAGCCCAGGGCTGGCCACTGTCCTGACAGGGAGGAAAGGGACCAGCAGGCATCTCTGGTGGCTTGGGTGTCCCTGGGCCTGGAGACAGGCTGGGTTTTAGTGCCCGGGACCCACCTGTAGGGGGCAGCCTTGAGGGATCCGAACCGGTAGCTGAGAGGTGGGGTGTTGGTGCCAGGAGTGACCGGGTGTGCAGAGCAATTCCCTCCCGGGCTCCGCGGGTCCTGGGGTGGGCACGTGGCCCAGCTGAGCCTTCCTAGCCGAAGGCACCTGTCTGGACCGTGGACAGGGCACACACACTTCTGTAAGTTTTCTCCACCCGAGGGATGACGTTACCCGAACCGCAGGATGTCATGCTGAACCCTCACTGCCACGCAGGATTCTTTCTGAGGCCCTTAGGGAGCTGGGGCGCAGGCCCCAGTCTATTCCAGGGACCATGAAGCCCAAACCCAACCACACCCAGAAACTGGGGGAGGCCGGGAAGCTGCCTTCTTTCTCCTTGCGGAGCATTCCGGAAGGGAGACCGCCTCTGCCAGAGCGACAGGCAGATGTGGCCTGTGGAGATGGAAGTTGAGGCTGGGGGCCAGGGAAGGGCTAGGGCCGCCCCGACAGCGAGGAGCAGTGGCTCCAGGGGCCCCTCAGCGGAGGCTGAGACCAGTCTCAGGTCCCGGAGACCGTGCCCCGCTTGTCCTCTGCCCACTCAGTTTGGTGGCTTCGCTGACCCGGGGCCTCAGCGGGAGGGGTGTGGAGCGAGGGCTCGCTGCAGCCCCCAGCCGAGCAGAGCGGCTGAGGACCCTCCTCTGGGGTCGGGGATGGACGAGCCGCACTCTAACACCTGGGTTAGGCCTTGGCCTCGCCCAAGATCACACAGAGGCTGCCCCTCGTGTGTCTCCCCCCAGATGTAGGCGGACACTGAGCCGTCACTGCCCGCCCGCCTGCGCTCGGCCCCTCTCCTGCCCTGTCCCCCCTGAGGCTGGCCGGGGCCCTCAGAGTCCTGGGGGTGGTGGACAGGGAAGCGTCTCAAGGTCTGATCTTGGGGACCCAGAACCCCAGGACACCGTTGCCGGATTTGGCAGATAAAAAGACAAGACGCCCATTCATCTTTGAATTTCAGATAAACAACAAATGATTTTAAAGTAGAAGTCTGTCCTGGACACACTCTACTAAATGTGATTTGTTGTCTGAAATTACACTGTGGGTGGCCTTCCTGCGTCTTCCGTGGCAGCTGACCCCACGGCCACTTGTCCCCTCGCCCTCCGTCCCAGGGGCCAGACTGGTTGCCAGGGGTTTCACGTCACCTGCTTTTTGAGCTGCAATACTGAGAAGGGGACACTGTGACTTGAAGACACATGAATATACTTTATTTTTTAAGCAACAAAACGAGAACCTTCTGAAGCCATTTGAGCCTCGCCCGACCCTCCACGTGCGTTTAGTTGCATAAAAGACGGCAGCTGTCGGTAGCGCCGGCAGCCAGCCTCGCTCGTCCCGTGCATGTCTCTGACTTCTGTAAATAGTGCATGGCGGGTGCCGACCCCACGCCACCTCACGTCCCCCACCCCGCCCGGCCCCAGCGAGAAGCCCCGGTGCGCGCCGCCACCTGCCCCGCCGTGGGGACGTTGGAGGCCGGTCCCCGCCAGCTGCACATCCGTCTGCGGGGCCGACCCTCGGGGCAGCGAGCTCTGTGTCCGGCCTGCTGTCTGGCGTCTGCTTCACCCACTGTGTGAATTAACTGAAAAGCCATAAAGGGCTCCTGCCGGGACTGGCTTGCCCCCTCCCAGGAGCCCCCGCCCTGACTGGCTCCCCACAGAACACACGCGAAGGGCTTGTCCGCTCACCCTCCGGCGCTCAGCCTGTCAGGAAGCGGACGGTGTCCAGGGCCCTGGTGGAGCCTCAGGAGATGTTGCCCTGGCAAGCCGGCTCTCCCACCCCGCCCCCAAGGTTTGACCATCCACGTCCACCTCCACCCTGCGGTGGGCAGGGCCCTGGTGGCACGCCACCGTGTTGGGTACTTTCTGGGGCCTGTGGGGTCAGGGTCCCTGGATGGCAATGGCGGGGGGCCTTGGGGGACACCGGAGGCAGCTGTGGGTCTTGCTCCTCTCACATGGTTCCTCCTGCAGTCGGACAGAGGGCAGCCCGCGCTGGGATGGGCATGGCTCAGGGGACACCCCACGCCTCCCGTCAGCGCCCCAGGGCAGCCCTGTCAGGTGCGCCTGGGGGCAGAGGTGGGGAGAGGGGGGCTGGGGACTCCCGGGGTCCCAGGTCATCATGTGAAACCAAGGGGGACATGTAGCTTCCAGTGTGCAGCCCCTCGCCCCCCGGGACCCGACAAGTTCTGGGAACATAGAAGGTGAGGCCTGAGTGTCTGGCAGGCGTGCCCGGCAGCCAAGGTGGCTGGAGGGCTCTGCCCCTCACGAGGTTCGATGCCTGAGCACACAGCGCCCCAGAGAGCTCCTTCCGAGGACATGGAAGGGCGGGGAGACCAGGGGCTGTGTCTGAGCCGACCGGGTGCTTGGAGAAGTGGGGGGGGGGGCGCAGGGCTCGCTCTGGTGCCCGCCACTCTCCCCCCACGGCAGAGTGAGGCCAGCGTGAGGGCGAGTGTGTGTGCTGAGGCCGAGCGGGTGACTGTGGGGTGTCCCCACCCAGCCTTCCTCACCAGGACGACCTCACAGAAGCCTGACCGTCCTGCCCTGCCCCCCATCCGAGGACTTGATTTGCTGCTTCCTGAGAGTTTCAAAAGCAGGGCGGGCAGACCCTCGCCTGCCCAGGTCGCCCCAGGAACCCCACCTTCTCGGGAGGACACACGCCAGCCCCCCGCCCCCCGCCCAGCTTGGCAATGCTCTCCACACCCTCGTGTGGACTGTTGTTCTTGTCTGATCTCTTGTCAAATTATTTTGTAATGAGCTGCGTCTCCTTATTAAAGAAATGAGCTGAAAGAAACCTGGGGGTGGGGTGTCTCTAGTTGTGTCTGCTGGGCGTCCCCGGGCAGGGGAGGGGGTGACAAGCAGTCTGGGTGGGTGATGGGCACACGGTGTCCCCGTGACGGCTTTCCTGGGGAAGGGCGGTGGCGGGGCCGGGTCCCTTCTGCAGAGCTGGGCCTGGGGACACGGGCACGTTCTGACCCGACAGGAGGCTGGCGCTGAACCTCATATCTCTGCTTCACAGGCAAAGCCATCAGGGACCAAAGACGGGGCTTCAGGGTTTTTAGGGAGAGAGCAGGGTGGCACTGTCCCCAGGCCTGGACGGGGTTCAGCTCTGTCCTCAGACCCCACTTCAGCCTGTGGACCTGTCTCCTGGCCCTGAGGCAGCAGGGGCCCCAGCTCAAGCCGTCAGGTCCCAGCACGAGGGCCAGTGACGGTCCTGTGGCTTTAGTCCCTCACAGGGAGGCCGGGTGGCCGTCCGGCAGGGTCCCGGCTGAGAAGGTGCGCGCTCGTCCGTGGCCTCGGGCCCGCGAGGGTTCACGTGCCGCCAAGAGCCCCTCGCCTCACACACGCTCCTCCCGCTCTGGGCCCAGGACAGGTCTGCGCGCTTCGGCCGTGACATCGTGTGTCTGGGCCACACGCCACTGGGTGACAGCAGGGCAAAGGAATGTTTCCGCTAGAGAGGAGTCTCCCTGTGCTCGCACCACGGGTGACCGGGGATTTCCGCGGGCAGAAATGGGGCTGACGAGAAACCAGACCCGCCTGGGCCTGGCCCTTGTTTTGAGTTTGGGTTTGACCTCCAGTAATCCCACGCAGCCTGTTCTCGTCTGGAGCCTTGGGGCAGTTTTATTCTCCTGAAGCAAGTGGGGACCGTCGCGTGTAAGGCAGGGGCTGAGGGGACACGGCCACCTCTCCGGGCCCAGCGCCCTGGTCACTGAGTCCTGCTGTCTCAAAGGAACAGCCACACCCCAAGTTGCCGGAAGCCGGAGCCCTGATTCCTATCACTGTCGAGCCTCCAATCTCGGCTTCTCCTGGGCCTGACTCGGGGACCCTGTCAGTGACGGTGACCCCCTTGTCCCCGAGACAGGCAGGAGGGCGAGGCCACCGGTGCAAGGATGACGACGTGGAATGCAACGGGCGCCCCCAGACGGGAGCCTATAAATCCCATCCCCTAAACAGTGAAGCCAGAGTCACAAAGTTAAAACACAGTTTTATTTACTGATTTATAAATACTGTTGTGTTCACAGGCATCACAGAATGTGAATGTTACTATTCCCAAACTTTCAAACACTATACTTAATAATACTATATAACAACCACCAGTAAAACAAATTCATCTCAGGGTTGAAAGGCCACTCAAAGTCGCATAGAAGTACATTCAGTTCACAAAGCGGGCCTGGCGTCCCCGTCCCCGTCCCCACCCCACCCGGGGCGTATTTACAGCGGGCTGCGGTGGGGGGTGAGGGCGAAGCGGGCGGAGAAAGACACGCTCCCCTCAGGTGGGAGAGGCACTGAGACCCGCGTGGTTCTCAGAAGCCCTTCGCACCCCGTCAGGGAGAGAAACCAGAGCCAAGCCTGAGTCCGGAGCCACTGTCCTCCAGGACGGGGACGCAGGGTGACACGCTCCGTCCCTCTTCAGGGAGACTAGGTGCCAGCCAGGTGGTGGGCTCAGGAGTGCTGGCCTGAGGGGCTGCTGCCCAGAACCTATGCCCGGTGCTCGGTGCCGCCCACCCGTGTCCCTCCTTGGCCTGTCACCTGGCCTCGGCTCCCCTGGGGACAAGCTGGGATCTGCCCCAGGTTTCGGGCAGGTGTGTGGTCCCGGACACTCAGGTGAGGGCAGTGAGTGGTGTCCAGCACATGCGCCTCCCAGGACCTGCTCCTGCCCCCGAGTCTGGTTGGTGGGAAGGTTCGCGGCCCCCAGACAGCAAGCCTCCCGGGCTCAGCGTCCAGATACACCAATGGTCAGATTTTTTCTGCGAGGACACAGTTTCCACCTCTCAGGACGAGGCCCGAGCAAACCAGACATGCTGCCCCTGGCCCGGCTACGGGGACCTGGGGTCGGCCGGGTGTCACCCCGCCAGGCAGCTCTGGTCTTGGCTGGTTCGTGGAAAACCTTCCCGAAAGCACCATCAGCTCCGAGTGAGGAGAGCAAGGAATAAAGGGTGTGGGGGCGAGACAGCAGGCGGCGTGTGTCCTGGAGGGACGTGAACATCCTGAGGGGCCACCCAAGCACGAGTTTACTAGACGCGCTGTAGGGAGTCTGGGGGAGAAAAAACAGGACGTTTGCTCTGGTGGATTCACCGCCCAGAATGGGACACCAATGGACTGGACGTGGCTCAGAGAAGTGGCTGTGGGGCTCCAGGACACCCAGACTTGCTCTCCAAAGCTCCCGGTTGGCAAATGTGGCTGCTGCCACAGGCGGCTCCGGTCGCCAAACCTCTCAGGGTGAGCGAGGCCAGAGTGCTGGTCAGTGGGGCCTACTTGTCACCAACACTTCTCCCCAAGGATGGGCTCCACACCCAGGTTTGGTTTTGACCCTCGGCCACAATTCTCAAAGGGGACGTGCACCTGCTGGCCGGCTCTCAGCCCCCGAGACCACCCATTCCCTAGGAGCTGACAATGGCATTTCCTGGGCTGCAACGGAGCTGATTTGCTTTCCAATCTAATCAGAACAGAAGCATCAATACCATCCTTGCTAGGGTCTGCCGCTCCTGAGCAGGTCGATCGCCATCAGGGGGCTGATTAAAATCTCCGACGCGCTCCCCTGCTCCGGAGACCCCTCCTGTGCAGGGCCCCTGCCCTGTCACCTGATGTCCGGTTCTTTCAAGCCCTGTGGACCTGACTCTGCAAACCCCTCCGGGCCCCCGGCATCCTCCTCCGGCCTGCTCTAGGAAAGGCCATCGTAAGCGGCGTGGACCCCCTGACTCCGACAGCGCTTGGGGCCGAGGAGACGCTCGGTGGAGCCCCAGGCTGAGCTCTCACTCAGGATCATTCTCTCGCTGCCACAGGACCGAGGTCTTGGCCTGACAGCTGTGCGCCCAGAGCTGGGGTGGCACCGGTATAAAGAGTGGCTCGGAGGGAAGGACGCGGCACACAGATAAGCTCGGGAACCGTGGCTCCCCCGGGGCGTGGGCCAGGACCCACTCCCGCTGGCCTGCTTGCCGAGCCCCGTCGGCTTCCCCTTTTGAGGAGCGAGCAGGCTGGCTGCGCTGTGAAGCGCGCTGCCCGCATGCCACCTCCCGTGCTGGCGGCCTGGGCTGCCAGGAGTCAGGGCCTGAAGCAGGCGCCTGGCTCAGTTTCCTTTCCCTCAGCTGTGGCTCATTAAAGCCCCTGGTGGTCCCCACACATGTGTGGGACCCACAGGCTGGTACGTGGGGTTCCAGCCTCCTTGCTTCCTGAGTGGAAGGTCCAGCAGGCGTATGTCTCATTTAGGGCGGGGGGAGGGGGGAACGGCCCCAGAGATGGGACACCTCCCTCACCAGGGGCCTCAGAGCAACCAGGGAATCTAGGAAGGTGAGCAAGGGGTGGGGGCCCCAGGGAGCAGCAGATGCATCCTGCAGTCGCAGATGAGGGGTGCAGCCCCAGGAACCCTCAAAGGGGCCCACCCCGCGGAGGGTCGGCCACAAGTCCAGGGCTCGGCTGCTCTGTACATTCTTTACCGGCAACACCCAGGCTGCACTAGACACAGGGCTGGGCCAGGTCACCACGCCCGAGCGGTCTGGGAGAGGGGAGAGCCCTTGGGACGCCGACGGGCGGAGTAGCTCAAGTCCAGCCAGAGACTGTGCACGGCCAGGCACTCCTCCGGGGGTGCGGCTGGGCTTTGGAAATCAAGTTAATGAGAACAGAGGGTGAGGAGCTGAGCTGAGAGCCTTCTCCTATCCCGATATTCATGCAAAGACTGAAGCGGCAGGCCTGGGCCCACGCCGTTGGCCTGAGCTGCTGGGCTGCTGCAGTGTCTGAAAAGCGGGTGAGGGCGGGGGCTGCAGCCCCCGAGGACGGAGCTGAGGACACGGCTTTATTCTCTGGAAGGACAGCGGGATGGAGCCCATGTGTCGTGACGAGGGGACCTCAAGTCACCAGGAGGGCCTGCACTCTCACGGTTCTTGGCCAAAGAACCCAGTATTCCTGAGACTGAAAAGCTAGTAACTCTTTCATCACGAGGAAAACTTTCTGGCAAGAAAAGGCATCTTCACGAGGGAGGGGCCAGGAGGGGAGAGTTCTGAGAACCTGTCCCGCGTTTGGAAAGGCACAAGCAGGTCTGAGGGAGGCTGGGGCCCTCCAGCCCCAGCGCGGTGCACGGGGGAGGGACAAGACGTCTTCCTAACAACTCAATTTTCTTTTCCTGAGCAAGAGGCGGCCGCCCCCCATCCGTCCCCCAGTATCCAGGACGTGCTGGCAGAGTCGGTCAGCCGAGGATTCTCCCCGAACGGAGGACACGACCCATTCCCTGAGAACTGAGCTGACGGGCGTCCAGGACAGCCCACACCCCACCAGTAGAGCTTCTCTCACAAATCGGTCAAAACGGTCGGGAACGGGAGAGAAGATCGCGTGCGCTCCAAAAGCGGGGTTTTGCCAGAGGAGGCTTATCTCCTTTTCTGGAACTGGGGTCTTGAGTTACAGCTTCTGGTGTGAGAGCACGTGACGTTTCGGAAGGCCGTGGAGAACGACGCGGACTTTCTCTGGAAGGAAGTGACAATGGCGGACCACACCGTCCTGAGTGCCACCGGCCACCCCTAGCGAGGAGGGTTCCAACGAGCTGCACACTTACAATAAACCGGTCAGGGGCTAAAAGGCCCATAAAAGCAGATACTTCAAGTATTAATACTGGGTCACCATCAAGAGCCAGGGGGTGAATTCTGTGCTGCCCACGGGGGTGATCTGCCCAGGCCCAGGCATGTTGTAAAAGGGGCCAATGTCTAGAGGAAGACGGCCCAGATGTGACAAGCATGAGAAGTATGCCACCAGGAACCCGTCGGCGGGAAGGGAGATTAAGGGGCGGCCCCCAGGGCACGTGTCTGCTGGGCTGTCACACCAAAGCGAGGCACGGACACCACGAGCGCCCGCCGCAGACCTCGATTTGTCAGGAAAAACTTGCGGTCATTAGAGCCGCCCAGTGTCTGCGTGGCAAATGACGGCCACAGAGGCTACCTGGCCGTGGGTGGCAGCTGTGGTGGCGGGGGGTCCACGTGGCACAACAGTGGGAAGTTGGACCACATGCCCGCCGGGCCCTGCTCTCGGGTTCCGTGATGCCCCCGTGGGCTGAGGCGTCCCACACCGTAGGCCTTTATGAGGAAGTTACTTCTGCCGGCGGCTGAGAAACCTACCCTCTCCCCTAAATCTACACACCAGAGCCTGTCAGTCACCCCCACCTCACAGCACGACGGGCTGTCCCCTTCTGTCTTCTCTGGCATGAGGCTGCAAGTGTCCATGGGTGCTTGCACATCTTCCCCTCCTCCTCCACGCGAGAGTCCCCCTCTCACCAAGCTGCCCCCCCATGCCCCCTTGTGATGTCATTTCTCGAGGACCAGGAGCCAGAGCTAAGAGGACAGGGCCAAGGCAGGGAGGCGGCTGGGGGTCCAGAGCCCCACCTTTCTGCCAGCGTCTGCAGGGCCGGCTCGGCCGCCACGGCCTGGCCTTTCAGGGAGGGGCTGGGGTGCTGCCACCAGCGCAACTCTTCTAGTCCAGAGCACCCCAGCAGAAACTGTGCTCCCTGAGGGCCAGCCCGCTGGGACCGGGTGCTCTTTTCTGCCATCTACACGGGGGCGCACGGTGGTGGAGGGGCAGGAGAAAGGAGACTGAAGGGGTGGACAGGCAGGGCCGCCGGGGGCCGGAGGAGCGGGTCAGGCGAAAGCTGGCTCCTGAGCGGTGAAGACTGGCGGAGACCTCCACGCACTCGTGTCAGCTTGGAATCTGCCAGCAGCAGTTCTTCCCGTGCCCTGCTGCCTGGGTGACGTCCCAAACAGGGGCCTGCAGTGGCCGCCGTCAGACTCACCTCCATCGGACAGCGGCAGCCAGAGGCTGGCGTCTGGGCCGAGGCCGCACGTGTCTGCCCCATCCGCTGTGGACAGGTCGCTTCTCCATGTGGCGTGAACGGTCAGTCAGGCTTCAGTTAAAACTGTCCCAGGACTTGGCGTGGGCGTGCGGGAGGCGCTGCAGGGGCTCAGGGACAAGTGTCCTTCCAGCCCACACGTCCCCTTCGGGTTGGGAGGCATGGGCTGGAAGCGGGGCTGGGGCGGCGCAGGCCCCCGGAGCCCCTTCTATTTCGACAGTTTGCTGATGACTCGGATGAGAGCGCCGTTTTCGTCTTTCAGCCTCTGGTTGTCGGATTTCAGTTCTGTTAACACCTGTAGGGTGATGAGGAAGGTGTTAGACCTGACGCGACCAGGCCAGGTCAGCTCCTGGGACAGCTTACGGAGGGGACTGTCACCACCCTTCTCCCAGGGGTGAAATGCCTGAGCCGGTAATGCTGGGCTTTAGGGGGACCACGGCGCCTGTGGACACCTCACTTCCTGGTGAGGAGGCTTCACATCTCACATTGCGTATCCTCCCACTGAGGTCACCTCTCGTCTAGAGAAGTTGGGGACAGTGCCAAGGTGAGCTGGTGAGGACACAGGGAGGGGTGAGCAAAGAGTTAGGGGGGACACTGCCTCAACCCCACCAAAACCAGGCACGTGCAGCGGCTGTGCGCCCAGCGGGGGTTAAGGTCCTGTGATGGAGCTACGTGTCCACGTCCACCACAGCCCAGGGCGCTCCGATCGGCTCAGCACGGAGCTGTGACGTGCAGGGAGCGCTGGGTACGCGTTCAGCCCCTCAGCTCCCCACTGACAGGCACCCAGCGGCCTCAGGAGGCCTTGCTCACCGTGGACGAAGCTGTCCACCCGCAGCGCCAGGGCGGTGCTGTCATTCTAGGAAACGGGCTTTGGGGCGGGATGGCGATTTCCACCCCATTCGCTCTGCCACCTCGGAATCCTGCAGAGCTGTCCAACTTGGGGACCAGAGGATCCATGAGCCCCAGGCCCAGCCTGACGGCCGGGTCCCCATCGGTGACCAGGCACTCTGACAGGCGAGGGAGCACCTGACCCCCAGTGGGTTTGGCGGGGGTTACACGGTGCACACGGCGTCTGTGCAGAGCTCGGGGTCAGGGGGCCGGGCGCTGCTCATCCTGGCTTGGTGAACCGCGCAGGGAGCTAAGTGACCGACAGGACAGGGCTGCCTCCTGTGTGTCCTGCACACAGGGACGTGTGTGCATCAGGAACCTGTGTCAGGGGAAGGACCAAGCGCCTGAGAGGCCGCACACTGGGGGGTGCTCACGCTCACGGGCCCAGTACGTGCTCCAGGGCCCAGCTGCTCAGTGGCAGAGCTGAGCTGAGCCCACGTGTGCCCGAGTCCAAGGTCATGTCCTCATTAGAGGTGGCGTGGGAGGGGCGACAAGCCACTGGAAGTGCAGAGGCTGAAATGCCAGCACTGTCACCAACGCTCTGTCACCTTGGGTGAACCACGCAACACGTTGGGTTTCTGAAGCATCAAGCCCTAGCCCCTCAGAGACTGGGGCGTCTGTGAGACCCACAGGCATAACGGGCGCGAACGTGTCTGACCTGTGGGTTCCGTGGATGAGGGCGGGCGGGCAGGTGATCTACAAACTTTACTAAGAGGACTTGACTCCAGAGAACACGAACACCCCACTCAAGCCTGTCCTCCGATCTGCCTCTGCTCCCTCCGACCAGTCACAGCGGCGCCGGTGGGTTTCTGCCGCGTCCCCATCCCTGTGGCCTGACCACCAAGATGGCCTCCGCGCCGCACCTCCCACCGGCACTGGGCCTGCAGCCGGGCACGGGGGACACTGACAGCCGTGTTTCCACAGGCCGGGAGGAGTAACACGGCGACGACTGCATTTCACGGCCAGCAGCTCATCGGGTCACATCTGAGCTGCCCTCGTCCTTTTTAAATGGACAAACAACTCAGCGAACTTTGGGATTTATTTCCACATTAAGAACTCAATTCTCTGAAAGGCAGTTGCCCAGCTGCGACCTGCTCCAAGGGGCATCTTAAGGGAGCATCGCAAAGTCCCAGAAGTGGAAAGCAGAAACCAGGGGAAAGCCTCACCCCCGACCCACTGGCGCTGGCATGACAAGAGCACAGAGCGGGCGGTGGGCTCGAGGGTTTAGGAGCTTCGGAGCATCAACTCCCAATTTCTACCTTCCCATTGTCCACGGTGTGAGGTGCAGGGACCGTGGCCAAGGAAACGTGAGCACACGTTTTCTCGAACATCGCGTCTTACAGACTCTGATGAGGGAGGTCAGAGGAGGACAACACAGGGTCCCGAGGCTGCAGCGCCCAGGGGGCTGCAGGGTGACAGGGACTCGGAGGGGGAGCTGCCTGAGCTGTCTGGCTTCCGACCACCTGGCAGGTGGGAAGTGGCTGGACCCCACGACGTGCCCCGAGATGGGCATTTCCTCCCAGGATTATAGAAAACAAACCCAGAGAACCGAAGGGCAGGCGGCACCATGGATGACCACGCGCCGGGCAGCGTGCCCACAGTGGTGGGATGTCTTGGGAGGCAGGCCTCCCGCAGAGCGGGGACAGTGGGGACAGTGGGGCTGTTGCCAGGTCCTTTCTGCACTGTTTGGACCCTCATGGGGACGACTCACACCGCAGTGGGTCCAGCCTTGGCTACCAAATACTGTGCGATCGGGGCAAGTCACTTGACCTGGAACGGGCGTTTCATAGTCAGACGACCGCTCTGGGGGAGAGGTGGTGAAATGCACGTGCAGTGCTGGGCACAGCCCCTGACAGAGGGCAGGGTGCCATGTCTGCTAACGCGGGAGCCACGGTCGGCTGCGTCCCAGCTGCTACACCGTCTCGCACCAAGACAGAAACTAAAGAGAACTGGGGCAACTGCTGGGGTCCCGAGTTCACCCGAGGTCAAGTTTCTGGGAACCGTGAAGCTGATTTCAAAGTGCGGGGTTTGAGCCCCCCGGGGGCTCCGTGAGGAGGGGCAGGCCGGTGGCCCCCCGCTGGGTCTGGGTGCTGGCAGCACGCGGCAGGGTACTTGCTAGGCCTTGTCGGTGGTTCGGCTGCTTCAGGTCAGGGGCTACGAGCTGCCAGCTACGACCCGAAGGGACAAGCAAACAGGCAGAAAGATGAACAGGCCTTGGTCAGGACTAATTTGATTGTTGCTGAAAATTAAAACCCATTTCAGAGCGAAACTGCTCAGCAGTGGCCCCGCCACACCATCTCGGGTCGGAGGGCAAACACCCGTGAGCTTGTCTGAGACCCACGTGCAGGGAGACGCTCCCGGTGGACCATCAGTCCCGTCTCCCCATGTCCTCTGCAAAGCTGGCCCCATGAGGGAGGGCCTGCCTTCTGCCTCAGTCCACACTGCAAGGGGGTGGGGGACACATCCTTGGGGCCTCAAGATTTGTGACCGAGATGAGGGTGGGAGGACAGAGGGTGCCCCCAGATCTACCCGGGTGCGTAGGAGCTGGGTTTTGCTGGCAGCTGGGCTGGACCACAGCAGCTCCAGCCCCCCGATCTGGCATGTTGTCAGATGTGGGGGGGCTGGCTCTGCCTGGTCCCCAAAAGGCCATGGTTCTCAACCTGGCTTCACAGCAGAATCAACCAGGAACCCTGAGAAAATGCTGGCGCCTGGCTCAACTCGGACTGCTGGCTCTTTGGGGCGTGGACCTGGGCACCATACGTGCTGCCAGCCCCTGCCCTGGGCCACCCCAGGCCCAGCCCCACTGCTCTGGGGACCGGGCTGCACTTGGGGGGCTGACTGAGAAAGCGTGACCTCAGTTTCACAATGGCTGCACCAAGGCGTGTGTGTGTACGCAGGTACGTGTGCCCTTGCACACCTGTGCAGCCGGGTGAGAACGCCCGTCTGTCTCTAGGGCCAGCAAGGTCTCCCCCGCCTCCCCTGACGTGGGGTCAGCCCCGGCACCTTCCGTCCGTGACCGACCTGTACAGGAACCTGCGTGGGGCTCTGACGGAGGGGGGAGCCCAGGGCTCTGGACGCAATGGGAAGGGAGCACCTGCCTGGAGTGGAGCAGGAAGGGGGGGCAAGGGCTAGAGCTCCTGGGTCTCCGAGGCCTCCATGGATGCTGAGAGCCTGGCCACGACTCGGGCCAGGGCCCTGTTCTCGGCCTGCAGCTGCTCATTCATCTGCTTCAAGGTTTGGATCTGTTTTAGCTGGTGGAGGTTCTGCAGAGTGAAACACGGAGGGGACAGACAGACGGACAGAGAGACAGACAGACCAAGAGATAAAAGTAGGACAGATCACATGACTTTTGTTTGTTTTGGGGCTGCATGCACGGAAATGCAGGAGGAAGAGTGGCAGGGCGAGGGGAGCACAGCGGGCGGGGCCGGCGTCCGGCTCTCAGCGGCCACGGGCTCTCTGCTGAAGGTCGGCACGGGCACAGCACCAGGCGCTCTGTCCAAAAGGACATCTGCTGGCTTTTCAGAATGGCAGTCCGCACGTGGCGGGGGCTCTGGTGGAGCCACGGCCTTGGGAACTCGTCCCATCACTGGACCAGACGTGAGGACTCGGCGTGTCCTAAACCCACTGCTGCCTGAACCCTCCTCTGCCCCCGACTCCCGCCGGCTTCCTTTCTGGGTCCTCTTACCTCAGTTATCTCTCACCTTGAAAACTAGACAAGGACAGTAAGAGAGGGTCTGCGGTGTAAGCGCTTTCCGTGGCATGGCACCTGCACACGGGCACCCGGCACCTGCGGTGTGAGCGCTTTCCGTGGCGTGGCACCTGCACACGGGCACCCGGCACCTGCGGTGTGAGCGCTTTCCGTGGCGCGGCACCTGCACACGGGCACCTGGCACCTGTGTGCTCGGGGGAAGCCGTCACTTGCTCCAGGACCCAGGCCCTCCAACCGTGTGCCTCACGGGCTCACAGCTCCCAGGCCAGCCTGGTCCACGGAGGGGCCGTCCACACGCAGACTCACGCTCGGGCCTACGGCTGAGCGCTCGCAGTGCAGACACCAGCGGTGTCCAGGGATGGCATTCCTCACACCCCACAGGGACCCCAGAAAGCCACCAACAGATGGCCTGCCTCCTGTTACTTGTCCTCCCTCAGTGGACATCTGCACTGACCCTGAAACTCAGAAGAACGATTCCATTATGGGGACAGGACTTCCTAGATGCAGGCAGACAATCCATGGGCTGTGCTGACCGCAGAAAGGCCGCGAGGACCAGAGGAAAGGCTGTCCCGCCATGCGGACGAGAGATGGAAATGAAGGGTCAGAGGGGTGACAGTCGCCAGGATGAAGCAGCGAGGGCATGGATGGACGGAAGGACACAGTGAAAAGGAAACACAAGCAGAGACAAACTGCTGAGTGTCCCCAAAAGGGAGGACGACCAGCTCGGAAAAAGCTGGGGCACGACGAGTCCTGTGTCGCCACCGAGGGGCAGGGGCCGGGCCGCTGCCTTCTCTGGGGGAGGACAGAGCAGGGGTCACGGAGCAGCACGTGGGAATAGCGCGACGGGCTTGAATGGACCCCATTCAAGGGCCAGCGGAAAGTCCCGGGCTCTCGCCCTTCCGGGTGCCGACACCGGACCAAAGCGAGCGACAGTCTGGGTCACCGGGTGCGGTGGCCCGTGTCGCCCAAAGAACAGCACCAAAGCCGCGAACTACGGAAACGGCTCAGTCTGACATGTGAGGACGAGCAGATCGAAGTGGGGGGCTCCAAGGTTCTCAGCACCGGGGAGCGAGGCAGGGGGCCGTCCAGCAGAAGCTCCGGAGCAGGCAGCACTCAACAGGCTCGGAGCGGGGGACAGGCTCAGAGCAGGGCGCGCAGGGCTTCGGGTCTGCACGAGCTCACGACATTTCCAGAGTGGGACCAATTACAAGTAAAGCAGACGGGCTGCGGGGCCTTCATGCAAGCGCCTGGGGGGCTGCTGGTGGGGGCTGTGGCACAGGGGCCACAGGGGCCACCGGGTCCCGAGACAAGCACAGGCCAGCGCAGCTCACACGACACGTGGGCGCAGAGCCGACCTATGACCTGGGCAGGTCACACACCTCACCCTTCCAAGTCCAGGCCTTTCAGGCACACGGTGTCACAGCCACAGCGCCACACCTCACGGCCCCCATCCCCCCTGGATGTGCCACCGGATGTGTCAGACTCAGAAACACAGGGCCAGAGGCACCCCGCGTCCCTGAGCTCCTGCTGCCTCGGGGTCACCCATCCACCTGCTCCCGACTGAATATGCGCCAAGCACGGGTCCGACTGGCCCTCAGCTCCACTGGGTCCCGGGCTGGACGAGCCCGTCACCTGCCCTGCTGGCTGGCTGCCTGAGCAGGGACCCTGGCCGCGGGTCACCACATGGCGCTGGCGAAGAGCTAGGCGGCCTGGAAGCGCTTTCTCAGCCGTCTCCGGGCGGCCACACCATTTATAACGCCTGTCCCTGCACATCTGAAGGTTTTGCCTCCAGAGAAGGCACAGACACAGATGCCACAGGGCTGGTGCTGCCGGGCCACCTGCACACCTGCCGCCGGTGCCGACTGGGGCAAAGGGTAAGTCAGGGGCCTTCGGGCAGGTGCTCCCCGCATCTGCCAGCGTCTGACTGAATGGGCGCATTTTTAAACTAACACAAAGCCAGTCTCACCGTGAGTGCACCAGCTGGTCTGGGGCCGACACAGCCATGTGACTGTTTAAACAACTGAATTTAAAGTTGGCAGCAAATGACTCTGGACCGAGGGCAGACACTGCCTCGAATCCCAATCTCTGCTCAGAAAAGCAAGGAACTTGGGATCTAGTTCAGGAAGTCCCAGCCGGACGGGTCCCACGGCCGCCACCTGAGGGCAGCACACAGGGGAGGCCCTCGCTGTCCCCTCTGGGACGTCGTGGGAAGGACTGCCGCAGAGGACGAGGCCAACACACAGGGGCTGCCTGAGCTCCGTCAGAAGGCCGCAGGTCTGGCCTCACTGCTCCCAGCAGCACTCTCGCCATTTTGTAGTGACCGCTGCCAACGGCTGCCTCACAGCAGACGGCGTAACTCAAGGGGCCCCACAAACAGAGGAGAGAACGGGGTGCGTGGGGTGGTTTGGGGAAACTGGAGAAGCTGAAGGCAGACTGATTTTGCTGCTAGGGGAGCTAACCACTGAGCATCTCTAGTTCTCGCTGTTCTGAATTGACTTCAAAGGCACGAAGCGTCGCCGTCTGAGACACAGCAGGCGCTGCTCGGGTTCTGTGGGATGGTGACCTTGGGACGGTGAGCACAGGACGAAGGGCAGGACTTGGCATGCCTCCTGCGTTCTGGAACATGAGCCCTGGCCCTCATGCAAACTCGGACCTTGTCAAGTCCTGCAAAGCTCATTTCAGTGAACAACCAAGCGTCTCCCCACTGGCACACTGGAGACCCCTGCCCACAGACAGGCTCCCGGGTAACCATGTGCCACCAGATGAGTGCTCAGCATCTCACATCTGGTGAAGTGCGGTCCCGGAGGAGGAAGGCAAGCTGGGAAGGGCTAAGCGGCCGCAGCCTGCGGCATCATGCGGCGAGGCTGGGTGCTCCCAGCACCCCACAGGCGGCCCCGAGCAGCTCTGCACCCCCTTCCACAGCAGGGCCGACTCCTGTGGGTAGACTGCCAGTTCTTAGCCGGACAACAGTGGTCCACCCAAGGGGACAATAAGGGACGGTCACTGCAGTGGGAGGCAGCGAGGGCAGTGCCTGTGGCCCGAGCTTCTGCAGTGGGGGAGCGCCCAGCTCCCGAGTGTTTCGGGGCACCGGGCGGGCGCTGCTGCACAGTGGGGGGGGGGGGCTGTGCGTCCTGCCAGGCCTGCGGTGGGCCGGCCGGCACCCTGGGCGCCTACGCTGAGGCCTGCAGAGCTGCAGACCCCCCATCCAGCCCTAGAGGGTGAAGCCAGGGCTGCGGAGCCTCAACAGCTCGAGCCGGGCTCGCGTCTGTCCAGCCTGCCGGATGGCCCGACCTGGCTGCTCTGCTCCCAGGGGCTTTGAGGCGGCCGGGTGGACCGGCTCAGGGCGCTCTCGGCCTTCCCACACGCTTCTGGAAGGGTCCTGCGCAGTGACCGTGGAGGGGCCTGTGCTCCGCTGCTCAGCCCTGGCAGGGACCCCAGGGGGGAAAGGGACGCAGCCCGTACCTTCATCTCCTCCTCCATCTCGGACATCTTCCTCTCCAGGGCACGCCTCTCCTGTGGGGAGACAAGCGCACTGCTGAGCATCTGGTGGGCTCAGAAGGGAGCCCGCCCGCCGCCAGGGGTCCCGCACACCACACCCAGGTGTGACCAGCCTCACTGATAAACCGCATTCCTGAGCCTCCCACCAAATTAGAAGATGGGCAAACGGGAAGAGACCAGGGCACTGAGCTAGAAAGCACGGGATTTCAAATGTGACCAGGACCCTTGCTCACGAGGCACTGTCACCTCCGGGCATGCTCTCCCCAGTTCCCAGGGAGCCGCCCGGCGTGCTGGGACTAGACGGAGAGCTGACACCATGTCTGTGAAGCGGCAGACGCCTCCCTGACGCTGCCCGCACGCTCCCCTGTCCCTGTGTCACCCCAACCCAGGCAGACTCCTCAGTGGATGAGGTACCAAGGAGGTTGTCACAGACCAAGGATCATGTGTGCATGTGTGTATGTGTGTGTGTGTGCGCGCGCGCGAACACATGAACGTGTGCAGATCTGCTTACAGGCAGAACAATGACATGATGACCTTCCCTGCGCCCCCAAGACTGGAATGTGTGAAAAGCACTGACCGTCTGAGGAAGCCAAAGGACTAGCAATCAAACTGCTGTCCAGAGTCAGATGGAAAGAATTTATTATCGAGCTGGAACGGAATGTGGCAACTCCCGCCTCTTAAGAAAAACTTTCCCGAGGCCCGAGCAGCCAAGTTAGAACAGGAGAGGGAGGTGGCCGAGGACGAGACACACGTACCCGCTTCTCCACCTCCAGCACCGAGGACCTGTCAGCCTTCTCTTGTCTCTGCCAGAGCGAGGAGAGGAAACACCGTCAGTGAGGCTGTCTCAGGCCGGACGTCACCACCGGCCGTGCACACAGATGCCGGGCTCGGGGCCTGCACGGTGCAGGGGCGCCCGGCAAACAGGGTCTGGTGGCCCCCAGCCTAATGTCACGACCTCTGCAGGCTGCGGGGTTCCCTCCGGGCCGGAGGGCAGGAGCAGCGGTCCCTGACACTCGAAACAGGCACGCTCAGACCCCCCAGCAGCTCACTGCGGGTCTGCGGTTCCCACTGTGTCACACCTCCCCGCGGCCTTTCTGTGAGTAACGTCATCGCCCAGAGGAAAGGAGCAGTGGCTTTCACACGGTGGCCGGCTTCCAGGGTCCTCGAAGCCCCCATGGGACCGGCGGCCCTGAACACGCCAGGTCCACTTCTGCTGTTCGTACACGGTGCTGCCGGACAAGGGACGGCTAGGACTTTTCTTTCCAGCACCTCTGACTTTCAGTGTAAGTTCGCAGGGGGGCTACGGAGGAGCCGCCGGCACAGCTACAGAGAACCACGTGCGCTGTGGACACCGACCCCGACGTCCTCTGGCCTCAGCATTTGAGAGCGGACGGGTCTCCTCAACGTGTCACACACACCGTCGGCCGCACAGCTTCCTTTCTTCAAACAACTAAGGGAGAGCGGACCGAACGCCAGCACCCGGCCGGGCTCCCGTCCTGAGGCCACTGCCACCTGCCTGTGCCACATCTGCTCTGAAGCGGGGGCCGACGACAAGAGGCCAGAGGGGCCCCGGCAGCTCGTTTCTGCCCGAAGTCTCGCTTTCCGGGCCTGACAAGCACAGAAGCTGCGATGACGTCACTTTTTCCACTGAGTTCACCTACACGAAGAACCAGTTTTTCTGTTGTTTTGTTTTTGTTAAATCTTAACCCCCTTAGGGGTCGGGTGGGCCTTTCATGTACCTGTGTCCATGCAAATGCGTGAGGCTGGCGGGGCCCCAACCCCTGTCCTGACCGACACTCCGGTTTGACACTCCGGTTTCGGTAAATAGCCGAGACCTGCTTTGGAGCCCCACCGCTTCCAAATTTCGGTAACTTGTATTTGGCAAAGTCTGTTCTGACACACCCAGAGCCTGTGCAGGCCCAGGGCGGCCACTCAGGCTGCTGGCCGCTGGGAGGCAGGGGCCGGGGAGGCCGCGGATGCCTCAGCCGAGAGGTGGGTCAGAGGCGTCTGCTGAGGGGCCGTGGGCCGGTCCTCCTGTGGCCCCTCGCACGGCTGCCCCCTGACTTTCTGCAGAGCCTGATGAGAAGCAGCTACGACCCATGTCTACCAACCACTGCCAATTCTTGGCTCCATTCAGACAGAAACCAGCCTCAGACACCTGCTGAGGGTCTGCCTGGCCCTGGGATTCTGGGGTCCAAGAGCCCCTCCTCGTGGCGGCTGATGCCTAAGCGGGGGCACTGAGCTGCTTTTCCTGTCCACCAAGTCACAGCCAGCCCTGCTGCCACCTGTGCTGCCGTCGGCCGCAGCAGCCCCAGCACAAGGGCCGCATTCGAGGGTGCGGTGCGTCTCCCGAGCTGATGGGCAGCTCCCAGGCCAGGCTGTGCCTCCTGCGCCCGCCCGCAAGCGGTCCCGGCTTTCCTGCGGCTCAGGCAGACGTGCTGCAGCTTCTAAGTGCTGGCACCCGGTCCCGAGGGTCTGCGGCAAGATGCTCTGAGGGTGCCGGGCGCCTGCCCTCCAAGGCCAGGCGCCCGGCACCGTGCAGCCCTGGCATCCGGGTCTCGGCGCTGGGTCGTGTAACAGCTGCCTCGGGCTTTCCTCTCTCCCGTCCAGCACAGTCCTTTTCAGACGCTGAGTGTCAGGGGCCAGGAGGCTTCCCGTTATCTCAACAATAACCGGGGTGCCTGCCCCAGCTTTCAGCTGCACACCGTGGCTGGAGGGTGATGTGGCCGCTGCCTCCAGCTCCCAACACGTCACCTAATGAGGCCTGGCGCCGAGGGGGCGGCTTGCCTGGCCTTCCTGTGCTAACGTCCCTATTCCGAGGCTGAGTGGCAGCGGTGACTTGGGGGCGGGGGGAGCACGTGCCACAGGACATCATCACTCAGCCGATCCAGTGTTCTCACCTCTGTCTGAAGCAAACCACTCACTTCTCAGCCTAATCTGCGACCTTTCTACGCCGGGTTTGAGACGTTTACCCGTCTCTAGGAGGTGACACGCAGGTGAACTGACTGAAATGAGAGGGACAAGCAGGTTGCTGCAGGCCTAGCCCCGTGTCGCTGGCTGGTGCCTCTGCCAAGAACTCGGCAGACAATCTGTGACATCGGTTGTCGGCGCTCAGGCCACCACCAGGGGCTCCATGTTCAGGGAAGACGCCCACTGAACCCGAAAGTCAAGTTAGACCCGAGAGGCCCGCGCCTGCCCCCGTGTGCCCCGCCCAGGCCCCCCGCTTCCTTGGCCTCCCAGCCTCCACGTCCCCTCACCTGGGCCACCTTGTCCAGCCTGGACTTCACGTCTGCCAGTTCCTGCTGGGCCTCCTGAAGCTTTGTTTTCAGTTTCTGGTTTTCGGTCAGCGCGCTCTCGTAGAGCTGGGGGCGGGAAAAAGACCAGGTCACCTCCAAGGGGCCCCTAGCACCAGAATTGTGTCACCTGAGGAGCACGGGCTGCACCCCCAGCCACCACCGCTGGGCAGACGGCAAGGATGGAGGCTGCGAGGCCAGAACACGTTCTGCCCACCGGCCTCTTGCTTCTTAAACTCAGTGAAGCCCCCGGCGCTGGGCTCAGGATGCCTCGAGCTCAGTCACATCAGCCTTGGGGGGAACGCGCCACTCCGTTTCTTACCGGGCACGTGCACAGCTTAAAAATGTGGTTCCCACAGAAACGGGAGCGAGTTTTAGTGGTGGCATAGTGTGAATACTGATTTTAGTCAAGTCCTGACTAACAGAACCAACTTTTTCTTGACAGAAAGCTTCTCCCCACATTGCGAGCACCTGGAAGGGCTGTCAGTCGGCCCGGAGCCAGGCCCTCTGCTGTGACACGGAAGGCGCGCGCGCACGCCAGGTCACTGCGTCCCTCTTTCCAGGAGTGCCTGGCTGGCATCCACAGGACAGAGCCGGCCTCCGGGTCACACAGCCTCTTTTACGCCCCCCTTTACAATTCTTAACCCTTCCTTTTTCCTACACCCCTAAGTACCTGATTCTGGGCACACATTTACTGCACTAAAACGACATGAAGGGTCTTATTCAGCTGGTGGAGCAGCCGGGAGACCTGGGGGGACGTAGTGTCACTGTCACTTAAGCACTGTCCCCTGCTTCATCAGAACTGTGCTCATTTGCCTGCACTGTGGAAACGGCTGGGAGCTTTACGTGCTGGAAGCCACGACCGGAACGCTGAACGGGACCCTACTTTTTTATAATCCCTGCTGGCGCTCTCCTCCACGCGGCTGGTCAGGGAGGCCAGGCGGGCCTCGCGCCGTGCTCTCGCAGAGGCCCGGTCACTGTAGGACTCGCTGGTTGTAGGGTTACTGCCTCCCGAGTCCAACCTGTGGGGGACACGTTAAAGATAAGAGGCTTTAAGAAAGAAGGGGCCCATGCTTAGGGGCAGTGTGGCGTCTTCTGACGAGCCCTTGGCAGTTCTGGCCAGAAACGACACACGCATTCCTTCCCGACTCTCCCGGGCGAAGCGGCCCAGCTTAGAGGAGGCTGTCACTGGCTAAGAATGGAGCTTGCTTGAAAAACTGGTGGTTTGGACCCAAATGCTCACTTAAATCTTAGAGCTTTCCCAATAAATTTAGGGTTGAGCTGCTTCCCTCAAGACTGTGCTTTTAAAAGCAAACGTTTCTTGGACCGCAACAGCTCTTGGAAAATGAGTCCGATGAAGTGTGAATGAACCAGGGGCGTGTGGGCTGGGAGGCCGGCTGGGAGGTGCGGGGCGGCCCCGGGGCAGGGCAGGTCTGCTGGGGCCCAGGCTTTTCTGCCCTCGTCCGTGTCCCGCCAGCACTGACACCTGTGATGGGCCCCCAGCTTGACAGCGGTGTCAGCCCCACGCTCCTATCGGGTCCTCAGTGGGGGTCGGTCAGCTGACTCTGTACATGCGGCCAGCACCCCGGTCCTCAGTACCGCGTCCTATTTTTTGGGGCTCTGCTCTTCCCAGACTAAATGTGGCCCATGACACTGCCATATCCAAACCAGCCCTGCAGAGCTCTGCGTCCTCCTGCTGGGGTGCTTTGATGAGTCAGAGCTGGGGCTTCCATCCGTGCCCCTGCCCTGGGGTGGCCACGGCCACAGCAGGGGTGGGAAGCAGGGAGGACGACACAAAGCTGCCAGCCATATCGACGGCCCCTTCTGCCTCACAGACGTGAGCCCACAACAGTCTTCTTCTTCTTTTAAGCGTGTGACTAGGCATCTCTACGGACTCCCCGATTTCACAAGCCATACGTGCTTACAGAAAAGATGAGCGGTGCCCAAGTGGCTAAAACACAAAGTCAAAGTCTCCCCGTAATCCTGCCCAAGAAATAACCACTCTTCACAGTTCAGCTCTATCCTTGTGGGGTATTAAGTACATAAATATGTTAAAAACATATTTCCACAAATAAAGTGAACAGCCTATTTCCTAAGTCCTCCTCTTTGTCCTGTGCGTTCACCACGACTGAAGCATCTTACCACGTCAGTGAAAACAGAGTGGCCTCATGTATAAAAACTGCAGTCCTCACTGGATGGCTGTGTGACAATTTAATCCTCTACTGACACATGCTCACTGTTTTGAATTTTTTAGCTAATATAAATAATGTTACAATGAGAAGACTTGTCTACAAACCCAGTGCATTGTCCAATTATCTCATTAGGATCCAGTCTGAGAAGTGGGACTGGCTGAGGGCTAAATGGGTTTTAAATGCTGCTGCCTGTGCTGTGCGACGGCCCCGCACAGGGGTCTGTCCTTCCCATCCACTCGAGTGTTTAGACCATTAGGGAGGTTCTTGTCTCTCTTCGCTTCTGCACAGCCTGCTCCTGCGCTGCCCGAGCTGGTCCTTCCTTACACCGCGGGAGGCACGTTCTACGGCTTTGGGAACTGACAGGCTGCACACGGGTTGCCCACTTTACGTTTTGTCTCTTTCATGGTGGCTTTTACTAGCAAAGGTTCTGCATTTTATATAAGTAGATTGACAGTTTTCACCCTTATGTACCATGCTTAGAAAGGTCTTTCCTCATAAAGTTGATAAATACTCTCTTCTACTACTTTTGTAGTGAACTCTTTCTCTTAAAAATTGTAATCCATTTGAAGTCTGGATTTTCGTCTTATTTTATTGTTTGGTTTTTTTACTTTGGTTTGACGGATGGATCTATTTCCCCAAATAGACAAATGTCTCAATGATCATTTAGTAAGCAGTTCTTTCCCCACAGTGTTTTTATTTTTTTAGGGCTACCTACTGTGTTCCACAGCTTTGTTTATTAAATGAACTCACTGTTTTAATCAGTTTTAGAGCATATTTTGGTCTGTAGGGAGGGTCTCTTCTTATAAACGGCCATTATAATGTATCAGTTCACAAGAAATTACCTAGGAAAACACCACATTCAATCAATTTTGCAAAACTAATTTTCTGCTAGGTAAGATGTAAGTTATTTCTCCTCGGCTGGTGCCTGGTGAGAGGTCAGCGGAGGAAGGGTGCTTGCAAGCTGACAGGTTTTAAGGTACAGTAAAAAAGAAGACCCAGCTCCATCGCCGCCCGAACTGCGATCCTCACTAGCCCTACGCTGACCCACGACTGCGCCTTCCTGCCACGGCGTCTCAGTGTCTCCATCAGAGGACACTCAGGCTTGTGGCCCCATAGTCGTCACCACTCACCGCTGTCCCTTCCTTCTGCAGGTCGGAGTTGTACCCTCAGGTGCTGGGAGGAGACATACGGAGGCCCATCCCCAAGCCCCCACATGCTTCTCGAATTTTCAGCACTTGCAAGTCAGGTCTTGACTTCATCCAACACATTATCACTGAGCACTACCAGGTCAAGGAGTTGTGCTGTGACATCATGTGACAGCGTCTAACTCCGTCTGGACTCGAGCATCCCTCGGCAGACCGTCACTGCTTCCTCCCCACCCTAATGCAGGGCGCACGGCGGCCCTGCACCTCTTGAAGGAAAGGCTGCTTCCCCAGCACAGCGCCTGGCACGCTGGCACCTCAGGACAGTTAAGGCAGCGGAGGGTGCAGAGCGTGTGGGGAGGTCAGGGCAGAGGGAGCGGAAAGCTACTGCATTCCTGCGGGCAGACGAGCAGTGAGAAAAGTCTGAATGACGGTGCGGCCGGGGCCGGGGGTGGGAGCAGAGGGCGTGCGGACACCACCCACCATGAAGGCTGAGTTTAGTCAGACGTGCTCACACGAGAGTTAAGCGTGCGTGTAAAACACGAAGGCTGAGTTTAGTCAGACATGCACTCGCACGAGCGTTAAGCGTGTAAAACACGGACATCCTTACCTAGAAAGCCTTTCGTGCTAGAGAAAGGAAGAGACAAAAAACAAAACAAAAATTAAAACCAGCATTAGCAAGGGCAGTATTTATCATTTCCATTTATAAATGCACTTTTCAAATCAAACGTCTCAACTTCAGCGCGGGAAGAGGGGTGCAGTTCGTTCCCTCACGCCCGCATCCAGACTGTGGGGGGTGCCCCTTACATGGGGCGTGAACAGCAGGTGAGCTGATCACAACCTGTCCCCGCCCGGCATGCTCTGTGAGTGACCGACTCCGGCCTCAGTGTCCATTCGGATTAGATTCCTCGGTCCACCTGCCCCGAGGGAACATGGCAATTTACAAACATTAAAACTCAGGACAGTTCCTGGCCTTCTCCCAGGTCTCCCTGAAAGGAGGGCGGTGAGGACAGGCCCCACCTGGTCCCCAGGACGGTGGTAAGAACTGGGAAGCAGTGCCGAGGTCCCAGGAAGAAGGCCTGTGACAGAGGCCATCCAGCTGGCACACCTACGGTCACTGTAAGCAGACGACAGAAAATGACGTCTGTGCTTTATGTTTACTTGTTGATCACAGACGACCTTTACCTTATCTCCAGTTTTTGTTTTTGTTTTTAAACAAGAACTCACGCAAATAAAAACCCAGCCGACTTGAATGTATTTGCTTATTTTCTCTTTTGAGGGGCTAACAAACTCAAGGACACACAAGAAGGAAGGAGAGAGACAAGGACCCCGCCATCCACGACGCTATGAGGCCGGGACCCCTGAGGAGTGTCGGGCCCGTCGCCAGCCCTGCACGTGCACGCTGACTCCAGGGGGCCGACGGGCGGCCTTTCCCCACAGGCTCTCCGCCATTCGGGGTCTACTCATCAGGGTTCTCTCTCGTGCACGTCTGGACCTCAGTCCTGGAGGCTGTCTCACCAGGGCCAGAGCACTTTTCAATACTTCTTAAGGTATTTTAAAGTCCCCACTCTGTTGTACAGGCCTGGCTGGGCACCACTGGCTTTTTAACCATTTCAGATGGGGTATCAGTAAGAAGAGTATATGGCGTGTCTTTAATGGTCTCACATACTTGAAGGCGACACCCTAGAACTTGCAAATCTCGACTTCAGGGACCTTTCGTCTTACACCTGTAACGGGTCTTCGGGGAGAGCTCTGGGGCACTGCCGATCACCCCGTTCTCAGCATTAACGGAGGGCACAGTCTCCTCCTTGCGCCTTTTTCTCTGGTGGAATACCTCTAGAAACCGTTCTGCTTGGCTTCCTTTCTGATATCCTACATAATCTGATGTTTGATGGAAAAACACTGGTTAGATTTAGGGAGAGGAAAGCTCGGGTTTCTTGGGTAAAAGGAGCAGAAATGCTGCGCTGGGGGAGGCCTGGCTTCCAGTTTCCCTCTCTGTCCTGCTGTCAAACTACGTAGGCCACTGTCATCCTGATGCTGCTTCTCACTGCACAAAGCTGACCGCAGGGGACAAGCTGGGCGGAGCCCGGAAGTGATGCCCCAAGAGGCAGGACACCATGAACCCTGAAGGTGGCAGAAGCCGGCCGAGCAGGCAGCAGGCAGGGAGAGGTCCCAGGGCACAGGCTCAGGGACTGCAGCCCAGTGTGGGCGCTCTGGGGCTGGGATGGGGTCCCTGAGCTGCACTCTGGGGATGCCCATCTCTGTGCGAACTCTCGCTGAACACTCACCGTGGTCTTTTCATAGGGTCTGAGGGTCTGCACAGATTATGTGGACGTGATGACATTGCATTTTAGTAAAAGCACGGGTCTTCTACCCAGTTTGCAGGCTGACACACACGTATTGGCACATGTTCTCGTCAGGGACCTTGGAAGGAACTCCTGCTTCTGTGAAAATCTGCTTTCAACCTTCTGACAGGTGAAGAGCAGCGGCCATTACGGTGACACTCTGGGGCACCTGGCCTAGAACAAACTGCTCAGAGAAGGAACTGTTTTCTCAGCTTTCATGGCCCAACTGGGGGCCATAGATACTGTGAATGGAACCCTGGAGCAGGAGGGACTAAACGCTGCTCAGAAACCAGAATGAACATAGAAAACGGCAATAAAAAGAGTGATTCGCTAGATCAACCGGAGTTTAACATGCTCCGAAGCCCAGAAGCACCCTTCCGTTCCTCTCTTGAAATTCTCCCATGACCACGTCCTTGGTCAGGACCTGTTTCTAATAAAAGAACAGAGTGAAGGTCACCACCAGTTCAGAGGACGACCCTGGGAGGGACGGAATCAGGCTGGTTTGGATTTGTGAAATGTGTAGGGCTCTCAAAGAACCAGAGACGGCCTTGGAAAAAAAATCCCACAAGAGCTTTTAACTTGAAAGTTACCAGGAGTTCAGGGAGGCACATAATTAAAACCAAACTCCTCTGACCAAGTTTAAAATAAAATTGTGGCTCTGGAAAGCTGGGCCCCAGGGGAAGGAATGAGACCAAGTCACGTGTCCGCTGCCAAGCCCGAGGCGGGCGTAGCTGAGTCCTTTGGAACTGGGCCTGACCCCACAGTGATGGGAAAAACCTCCCACATACGTTTTCCCTGAAGAGGGACCGAGCAGCAGGAACATCTCATGTCTGTTCTTGTGCTCTGGCCGGGCCGGGGGCACAGTCGGAGCTATTCTGGGCGGCCTCAGGGAACCGGCCTGTCCCGCTGGGTTCTCAGATTGACCAGGGTGAGCAAGTCTGGGACTATGGGTTTTCAGGGCTACGCAAACCCAATCACAACCAAGTTAACGAAAACAACGCAGCTTTGTAATCTGCTGAGGTGAAAACCCATTCTGGTTTCCTAGGTGTGTCTAAGACGTGAATGCCCTTCGGCCTGGGAGAGCCCCCAGCCCAGCTCTGAACAGGCCTCCCAGTCTAGGTTGCTCCACTGATACGTCTGGGAGTCCTGCCCAATTTGGAAACACCGTCAAGGTTTACACAAAGATGTGACAGCAGAGGATGGTGACGAGGCGGTGGTGTTTTTCCCACATCTAAAACAGTAACATTTCCTAATATTACCAAGTTGTCAGTGGTGTTAGGTTTCTACTGCTGTCGTAACAAATTAGCACAAAACTTAGCATCTCAAGCATCCACTTATTATCACAGAGTGTGCGTCAGGAGTCCAGCCTGGCCCCACCGGGTTCCCTGCTCAGGTGTCTACTGGCTGGGCTGTCATCGGGGCTCTGGGGACACTATGCCTTCCTGCTCACTCAGGGGCCGGCAGGGCTCTGTCTCTGTGGCTCTCAGGCCCTGGGTCCTTGCTGGCTGTGACAGCAACGGCACACAGAGTCCTTTCCACGCCTCGGGTTTCGGCTTCCCCGTCACCGGCTGAGAAAGCAATCTGCTTTTACGGGTTCATGTGATGAGACCAGGCCCACCGGGCCGACGGACAGAACCCTGGGAGAGCACTCTCATCGCATTTCCGGGCTCTGGGGACAAGGCCAGCACGTCGCTGGGGAGCATGTCAGAAACTCCCACAGACACAGACTTCCCCTTAGAGAACGCTTGTTCTCTCTGACCTGTAACTTCCTCACGGAAGAAACGTGCACAGCACTCGGCTGCAGCAGTGATCATGTTCCGGGCTTAGAATGATGCTGACGGCGCCGACTCTCACTGGGCTCAGGGCACCACGTGACCAGATGCATGCGGACAGCACACGCCTGTATAGCGTGTAACAGTGAGTGACACAAAAGACCGTCATATGATACTCCTGATCCATCTGCACCAATTACACGTGGATCAAAACACTCAGGAAAGTCAAGGAACACAGAGCTTTCATCCGGTTGACACTTCTGAAAGACCTCAGTGCCAGGCTGCGGCTGCCCTGGTGCTTTACCGTGGCACGTGGGAAAGAGGCGACGGAATGGCATTCACATACTTTAGGAGTGAAATCATTAAATTATGGAAACAGACACAGGTCTTGCAGTATCCATAGGTCATGTTACCTAAATAGTATCGGTTCCAGCATTTACCTGATATGATCTCAGGTAATTCCTTCTCTCTGCCTCAGTGTCCTCATGGCTAAAACGAGGGCAGATGGTACTGGCGTGTGACGCTGTCGACAGCGTCCGAGACAGCAGACGTAGGCGCTGCCGCGGCCCCTGGCATTCGGTGGGCGTCTATGGACACAGGCGCTGACTACTGCACTGAGCCTTTTCCATCCCCTCTCTTGTCCCTGTCGGTCCCCAGGCTGGGGCTGTAGGAGGGGCAAGTGCAAACAAATGCCCCGGCACTCGAGTGGAGGGTTTGATTATTGCAGCTTCTGATCAGCCAGGCTAATTCCTGCTTCCCCGTCCTGACCTGCTGCCTGGTAGCTACACTCTCTCCCAGATAACCAACCGTGGAGCTGACTTTGGAGATCTATACGGAGATGCGACAATGGAGAGGCTAAGGTCTAGGCACACGTCAAGCGCCTCTGCCCGCCTCGCGGGCCCGCCTCCCTGCACTGTGTACCCAAGGGGAGCTGGGTTTGGGGCTGCGATGAGAACTAACGCCCAGGCGTGAACGGTCACTAGCCACACTGCACAGTAAACAGAGTGACAAGAGAGGCAAAAAGCGGCTGAAACAGTAACAGGCAGATTGATTAATGCCACCTTGAGCTGCTTCGCTTTGGTCTTCTACAATTAATTGTCAGCTCACTCAAATATTGTGAGACTGAGCAAAAGAAGGAAAACAATGCTGAATAATATGGGGACATCTTCAAAGTTGGAAAAACCACCCCTGATCACATGGCTGGTTACGTACTGAAAATAAAAATAAAGCTAAGAACCTCGACTCTCCCTACAACTGACCGTGAACTGGCCCCCTAGGGTTCTGCATTCTTTGAGAAGCTTCTCACTGGGACAGAGAGAGGACTACAATACCTCCAAACAAATAAACATCAGGCCTTGTGTCCCCTGCGTGGGATCCCAGTGGTGACCGCAAGGGACAGCCCCCAGGAGAAGCCAAGTGCGGTCCGCTGCTGTTACCCCGCTTACTCTCAAGGGCACCCACCCCTAGACAGGCCCACCATGCCCACGGCGTCATCACGCGTGTCAGTGTT